AAGTAAGTGCCCGCCTCCGCTGCGCCTCTCCTGCCGCTGGATGCGTCCCCCGTTGCCTTCTCCCCTCCCGGCGCCGGGCTCTTTGTCTGCGAGGAAGGGACCCGGGCGAGGCGCCGCCGCGGGGTTGGATCCTGGCTGGTGCAGGATCTGCCCCGATCCTGCCCGCGCGGTGGAGCGCAGACCTTCCTCTTGTCGCCCCGGGCTGGGAGCTCTCCGGCCAAGGAAGCGGCCGGTCCTTGGAGACCTCCTCCGCCCGGGTCGGACTTTCCAAGAGGCCTGGGACCCCCCTTTCTGATGTTGAAACCCCAGCAGATGGCCTTCGGGGCCCTTTGGCCCGGCTCTCTTAAACTTTGCGCCATCCTAGTTTATGTTTATTATAGGCTTCATCTGTTGTAATCCTCCAGGAGTTGTGCTTGGCACTAAGAGGGTGGTGTATAAATAAAAGAAAATAAAAGGAAAGGAAAGGAAAGGAAAAGAAAAGAAAGAAAGAAAGAAAGGAAGGAAGGAAGAAAGGAAGAAAGAAAGAAAGAAAGAAAGAAATAGCTTTTGTCTAAATCCCAGGTATCTAAAAGGCTCAGATCCTTGAAAGAAAGAAAGAAAGAAAGAACTTTTCTTTAAATGTCAGCTGTCTAAAAGGCTGGGATCCTCTGAGTCTTTCCAGATCTGTAAAGGCATCCTCTGTGTTGTTCAAAACTCAGTTTTGATTTGGGCCCATGTGCTGGAAAGTTCATTGTTGTTATTGCTTCTCTCTCTCTCTCTCTCTCTCTCCAGAAATCAACTGTATACACGGCTGTTCCCCCCTCCCCTTTTCTTGGCCTAACTCTGAGTCACTTTTTCTTTGTTCCCAGTTAATGAAATGCACATTTTCTCCTCAGCTGCTTTGCCTACCTAATGATATCCAGAGAGGATCCATAAAATGCTTGCTCATGTTATTTACCCCACCGCTGACACCGTGCCACGAATGTTTGCATAAGAAGCTGGAGGCTAGGCTCGAACCTCTTTGCCAGCTGCCTGGGGTCCAGCAAGGGAAGCAATGGGATTGTTGACAAAATTCATAGAAAGAGACATGTCACGAAAACAAATGAGTCGGTTCGGAACGCCAGGATCAACAGAGCTGCTTCATCAGGCCCCCAATATTTGGAAATATGCTTTGTAGCATTTAGAGATCCCCCCCCCGTCCCCTAAGAAGAGACATTGCTTCCTCCAGGTCACAATAGTCGTTGAGCTGATTTCAGAAGCTAGGTGCTAGCCCCATGTGGTTCCAGGAGCATGCAGAGTCGGCTGTTGTGTAGTTGTTTGAGTGCCAGCGGGTGTGTTTTCCCACAACTATTTCCCCATCCTATTAGTGTCTTGTAATTTCCTTCACAGAGCCGAAGGGCCCGTGCGATGGATCTCATGTTACCTTCACAGCCGTGACTCTTGGGTTAGACCAAGGATTACACTACATCAGACTCTTAATGAGTATTTAAGAACTGACAACCTCTCTGTCCTCTAGGGATGGGCTTTCCTCAGAGCCACATGCCTGAGCCATCAGACTAGCAAATTAAGCCCGTGCCTGTCTTCCAGCAACCAATCACAAAACAAGGCATGCTAAGCACAAGGTGCAGAAGCAAGAAAAGTTCATGCATGGACAGACCTCTTTTCCTACTCAAGGGAGCTCTGCTTCTAAATCTGAGCTGGGAATCTTGTCTAGTTTGAGCCTGACAAAGATGGAACGAGAGAGAGAGAGAGAGAGAGATGGAGGGACAGGAGGAAGATATCTGGTGGGTTCCTATCCAGGTCTTCTTGATGCAGTTCTCATGTTCTGCCCACAGTGCCATGTGTCTTCTTTAGTCTACCTATTTCACATTCAGCAACAGAAAAAAAAAATCAAAACTAAAGTATTGTGGTGCCTTTCAGTCCAAAACATTTATTTCTGTGCAAGCTGTTGCGGCTGACATTCCAGTTCTTTGGACACATTCTCATGTTGCAAATACTTCTAAAAGGGTGACTCGCAAACCCTGGAATGATCTGGCTTGATTCCCATAAGCAAGAAAGGGCCGCCAAATTTTGTCAGGTGCCAGCTATTCCCTGAGGAATAGAGCAGTGGAATTCCTTGATGTTATACCTCTAGGTCAACAGCAAGCTGCCCTGGGCCAAAACTGGCCCTTTCCCCAGAGATGGAGCAATCACAGGAAGGATCCTGAGCAGGCAGGATGGAGGCAGTTCCTCCTACTGCACGCACACATTTGCTTCTCACTGCAAGCCTCTGGCAAAGCAAGGTGCTGGCAGGGTATCAAGATAAGAGATACCACAACTGGCACATGGAGACAGATGAGTGGGGCCCCTTGAAGGAGGCACATCCATCTGTTCCAGTTTCCTGGAGAAGAGTGCCAAGTTGAATGCCTTTGTTTTCAAGGTTGGGAAAGGCCTCATGGATGAGGAGGGCTGAAAGGTGCTAATGGCATTGGAACCATCACAGTCCTTTCTTGGTGCCTTCTTGGTCATCAGAAGCCCACAGAGAAGCATGGCTTTAACTTAGCTCTCTCTTTGCAGATGAACCCATTATCCAAAACCCTGTTGCTTCATGCAGTAAGTCACAACTAGAGTGGGCCCACTGAATCAAGGGAACTTAGGAGTTGCCAAGCAAAATTCTCACCTATAACGCTTGCACAGACTAACATGGCTACCCCTTCCTCAACCCAATTCTCAGTGATTCAATGGGCCTACCCTCGTTCAACTTGCTCAGCTAAGCCTCAGGATGTCCGCTGCGGTCTAGAGGTGCTAACATGGCTACCCCTTCCTCAACCCAATTGCTCAGCTAAGCCCCAGGACGTCCACTGCAGTCTAGAGGTGTATCAGGGTCAGTCTGTTGCAGTAAAAAGCAGCAAAGATGCTCATGATGTCTTGGCTATGAAGAAAGGTATTGTGGCATAGCTGCTTGTGGGTGAAACCCCACATCCTCAGATGCATAAATGGGGAAGGAGTATAGAGAGAGGTGAATTGGTAATTGCAAAGTCTGTTTGCCTTTTGGCTCTGCTGTGTGCCCTTCTTCCCGTTAGACTCCTGTATACCCATTGACTGATGATAAGGCATTATCCACCTGGTAGACTCCAGTGCATGCACAGATGCCATGATAAAGGTCTTGTACAGGGCAGTCTCCCAGACGTCTTGCTTAGAAACAAGCTTTTGTGGAATCTGTGGAACGTCTGGTCTGTCTGATAGATTAGGATGGCTTGTTGGTGATCAGAATGTAAAAACAGCAAGAGAAACTCAAGTTACAGCTGCCATTTCTTTGTATGGTGCTCTCCAAGGGGAAGCCTCGGGCTAGGCTAACAGCCTCAGTTTCCAGTTTGACTTGCAGTCAATGGGACTTGCGAGCAGCATCTTACAAATGACATCTCCGTGGCTTGCTTAGGAAGAGGGGCTCAGCGGTTGTGGAGAGGGCATCACCAGCCACCTCCGAAGAGCAAGTCAACATCAAGAACCTTCTGGCAGAAAGCATGAGTGGTCCAGACACGCTAGCAGCCATTTCCGTGAGACAGCCCAGTCGGAGGAATGCAGGCAGGATCCGTATGCTCTTCCTGGGAAACCTGCACCATTTCCTTGATGCCTGCATAGGCATGCGACGTTCAAAGAAGCCTAAGTACCTCGTTTCCAGCTTGCATCCTCTAAATACAACCACAGTCCAGGTTATCTTTTAATGATACTTCAGTGCATTGAGGGTGGAAAGTGGCGGACATGAGCCCACTGGGTGGCTCACTTTGGTGTTAGAGAACTAAACCTATAGTCACGTTCTACAGCAATGGTTCCCGACCTGGGGTCCCCAGATGTTGTTGGACTGCAACTCCCAGAAGTCTGCACAGCTGGAAGTGAAGGCTTCTGAGAGTCTTGGTCCAAGAACCTCTGGGGACCCAAGATTGGGAAGCACTGTTCTAATCTAGAAGATACTGAGGGGGGAAACATTACAGTTGTATTTTATACTTTCTTTAGCTTAGAGGCTGAACGACACCTTACAGGTGCAGACTTATCTTTGCTCTCTAAAATTACTAAAACTAACTGAGAAGAGGCATTTCGTAGCACACAAATAGAGTTAGACTGAATGGCACTTCTAGGAAACGCTAAGAGGATAAAATAGAAGAGTGCAGAGTGATGTGTTTTTGGACTACAACTCCCAGAATTCCCTCGGCATGCCAGGTGCAGACTTATCTTTGCTCTCTAAAAAACAAACTGAGAAGAGGCATTCCATAGCACACAAATAGAGTTAGACTGTATGGCACTTCTAGGAAACGCTAATAGGATAAAATAGAAGAGTATGGATTGATGCGTTTTTGGACTACAAATCCCAGAATTCCCTTGGCATGCTAGCCATTGGCCTGGCTTCCTAGGAATTCTGGGAGCCGTAGTCCAGAAGCAGAAAAAAAAATGCAGTGTTCTGGTATGAATGGTTCCTTGCCCTTTTTTAAAAAAAATAAGTGTTGCAGAGCGTTCACCTGTTTTGTTCATTTGAGGGAACACGTTGTAGAGATTTGTACCTGGGTGGCCTGTCGGGGTTAACTCCAAAAATGGGGAGTGTCCCTTTTAAGAGACGATCCAGCCCTCCTTGCACAGCTGCAGGTCATTCCTGATCTGAATAAATGGAGGGCTCGTCAGGTGGCCTTGGTAGCACCTGGGAGCAAGGTTGTTTTCTGAGGCATTTCCAGGAGACTGGGGTTGGAATGATAAACCCCCAGTAAGTACTCTTGTAGCTTTTGCCTTTAACATGAAGTGGGGTGTGTGGAAAGGTTTGCTTTCTGTCGCTCTTGTGTGTGTCTGTTGGCATTATATTCAGGTAATGTTCTTGTTTAGCAGAACGGCCTGACGAAACCCTGGCCTGTGGGAGCGCTCCTGCTCGCCTGGAAGTCGAGACCCCCTGGATTATATAATCCCAGGTCCTGAATGCCTCATGACTGGCAAGAGGACAAATCAGGAATACTGTAAATACTGGCAAGAGGACAAATCAGGAATACTGTCAATTTTGAAACCTGGCTATTTGGGCAGGCTTTCCCTCCTGCCCTGTCTTAATTTCTTATACTTTGCCATCTTGGACCTATAATATATGTTTACTGGTTTTTATTGTTTTTAAATTTGTAAACCTCCCAGAGTAGACCTTTGGTCTAGATGGGCGGGATAGAAATCCAATAAATAAATGAAGCAAGTGGGTGATTCAACTGCAGAATTAAAGTTCTCGTTTGCTAATACCTTTTGTCAGTCTGTAAAAAAAAAAAAAACCCACAGCAAATAAAGGTGAGCTCTTGAGTTCTCTGGAGAACTGGAAAGCTCACCTTGTTTCTAATTTTTTAAAGGTATTACCTAAACAAGGCTCTATGGCCACTGGAGGAACCCTCCAGGTCATAACACATCTGCCATGTTTATTTCTGTGGAGTCCAGGCAAATGTTTTCAAGACACAAACTTTCAAGAAGCGAGAGGTGTCTGTACTTTTGCTGAACTACTGTTTTCTCTTGTACTCCAGTTAAAGCCTCGTTATGCTTTTACTTGTCTTGTCATTCTATTTATTATTATTATTTTAAACAGAGCTTGGTTTTCCTAAGTTCCCATGTCAAACTTCCTGTATCCTCCTTTTTGAGGCTTTTTGTGTTTTGATCAGAATTGATTGTTTCGCTTTGTATGTCCCTATTTCCTAATCTAGTTCTTGGAAAAAGCTAATTGTCGTTTCTTGTCCTCGGAATTCCAAGCAAACGGGGCGCATTAGAAGGCCTGTGACCTGGTCTTTCCACCTTGTCTGGTTCTTTGGCCCTTCACAGTTTGCCATCCTAAATCACCGATACGAGACTTGGCCTTCCTGGAAGAATCTCAAGAATCCCCATGAATGTGAAAGCATAGTTTAAAGCTGTTTTTGCAACTGAATCTCAAATAGAGTTTTATAGTTTGTTCACATTTCCCATGACTCTGAATTAAATGCTGCTACTCTGATGACATCGGATGTGATAAATCTGATTTTAAAATGCTTCTCTTCTCTTCCATATGAAGTACTAGTTTCTCTCCCTCACATTTTCAGGGGACTTAAGAGTTAAAGCGTTTTTGGGATGTCCTCCTCTTTCAATTTGAAGTAAGCTTTTGTTAGCTGGGTTAGCTGGTCTCCAAAGTTCGCAGTGAATACTTGCACTGAGTTTCCTAGCGATTCACATTACGTCATCTTTCTTCCTTCGAAAACTTTCTTTCTCGGATCTCTTTTAAAAAAGCCTTGTGGGATTTAAAAATATCTTGCTTATCTAGGCATATGGTTTGTAGATTGTGCCCCAGTCATATGGAGGTCTCCAAATAAAAGCTCTGTCCCCCCCCCCACTTTTTCAGATCTTTGTATCCAACAAGGGTAAGCAGGAAAAATCTGAAGGTGTGGGTGTGTGATACCTTAATTAGACCTAAAAATTTGCAAACATTAGCTACCCGCTGACTCTTACAGAAGTCTTCAGCAGGTTGGGTGTTATATTCCAAAATGGGAGCTGCCGGGTGGGTCTGGAAGTAGCAGGCTTCAGATATCATCTCCAGGAGATTAATTAGGATGCCTCTCCAATCTCGCTAGACAAAGGGTCTAATGATCTTTCTTCTGCACCACACCCACTTCTGTAAGGCCCAGCCTGAGGTACATGCTTGCAGAGCTGATAGCTAGTTTATGTTTGTCATATTTGCTGGAAGTAGCAGGCTTCAGATATCATCTCCAGGAGATTAATTAGGATGCCTCTCCAATCTCGCTAGACAAAGGGTCTAATGATCTTTCTTCTGCACCACACCCACTTCTGTAAGGCCCAGCCTGAGGTACATGCCAGCAGAGCTGACAGCTAGTCATATTTCAGGGGGTCTAATGAGGGTGTCAGCTGGCATGATAGCTCAGTGAATTAGGTATCTGGAGCCAGAGGTGAACAGCTTGCTTTCCTATTTTTGCATGCCAGAAGAGCCAGCCTGGGTGGCCCTGGGCTAGCTAATGAGTAACCAATTTGCTGGGGGGGGGGGCAATGTGTAGCCTGTATAATTAAATTGTAAATTGCCCGGAGAGTGCTTGTAGCACTATGGGGCGGTATATAAGCCCAAAAATAAATAAATAAATAAATATTTCAGGGGTCTAATAAGGGTGTCAGCTGGCATAACTCAGTGAGTTAGGTATCTGGAGCCAGAGGTGAACAGCTTGCTTTCCTATTTTTGCATGCCAGAAGAGCCAGCCTGGGTGGCCCTGGGCTAGCTGCACAGTCCCAGGCCACCCCTCAGAAGGAGGCAAACTACTTCTGAGCACTCTCCACTTGGAAAAGAGTTGTCATAACTCAGAATTAACTTGACAGCACATGATTGGTAATCATAAAGGTGCCGTCTCCCCTTGCCTCTGGATTGTTTACAAGGACCACAAATCTTTTTTGTTTATTTTTTTGCAGATATTTTAAATGACCTACATGGAGAGGGAGGGAGAGAGCCACCTGGACTTTTAGTGGATTAAATACTACAAATTCTGGAGGTCGTGGGAGGTCAGCAGACATGCTTGTCACTATAAAAACAACCTGCCGGTCTTGTAGCTGTTGGCATAACCTTTCCTGGACCTCAGCTGACAGTGAAACATCTTGATCTTTAAGATGACACAAAGCCCTGGCTGGTTACTTTCCACATTTTTTGTTTTTTAGAAATGTAACCTAGCTCTGTCGCTCTATAGATATGTTTTTGCTGTTTTTATAACAACTTTCCTGTTGGTTGCTTAGAAGGAACAGATAAGTTACATTGGTTTCCTTTTTGCAACAAACAAGGTATTGGGTTACAACTGCAATATGACAAACAGTAACTTCACTTCTCTTGCAGTTTGGCTGTTCTAGTTTTATACTTCCCAGGTAATGGTCTCACTTTTTAGGAATGTAACACAATTCTTTTTCACAAGACATCATGCTTCTGGCATCCCGGTGTGTTTGAGAAGCAACAAAAACATAATTTGTATAGTTACTTTTGAATAAAGAGGAAGTAAAGAGTTTTCTATAAACATAAGGGGCTTGTGGTAAAAGTGGGAGGGGGACACACCTCCTTCTCAGAAATTTTGGGATGAAGTGCACATACACCCTCTGTCTATAACCTGCTCATGCTTAGAACCTGCAGCTATAATGGCCATTAAGTACATTTGGGACCCCGAACCTATAGTTACTTCTGAATTACTTTTGAGTAATTAGGGTCCAAAGTTTCAAGTTCTTGTGAAAGAGAGCTGGGTTACATATTTTAGCCGAGGGCTGACCTGGGTGAGAGTCTGATGGAGACTGTACGCTTTAATCCCACCTCTGTGGGAGAAACGTCTCAAAATAGGGCAGAGAGATTATCCTGAGTGAGAGATTTTCCACTGCCATTGTTTGTTTCCTTTGCATGAGATAGAACTGATCATTAATGTGAGCGTTCAGCACCGTTGGGTCTAGAGTTGCATGAATCTAACAGTGCAATTCTGACTCAAATACGTGCTGTTTATGGTGTGTTAGAAAAAGGCTGTGCTGCTATCACAAAAAAAGCACTTCAGCTGGCTAATCTCAGAGATCTCTCAGTGGAAGGATCTGCCGGCTAAGGTCATCCAGCAAAATAGCCAAAAAGACGGTTGAAGAAGTGGGGGGGGAACAGGATTAGGGAGGATCTGTTCTCGATCATCCCAGAGTGCAGGACATATAATCATGGGCTCAAGCTACAGGAAGCCAGACTTAGGCTGAATATCACGAAAAAACTTCCTAACTGTTAGAGCAGTACGACAAGGGAACCCACAACCATGAGAGGTGGTGAATATGCTCGTCTAACACATTCAAGAGAAAATTGGGCCACCCTCTGTCAGATCTGCTTTAATTTGGATTCCTGCCTTGAGCAGGGGTTGGACTTAATGGCCTTAGAGGCCCCTTCTGACTCAATTGTCCTCTGATTCTAGGGGTTAAGCCAGATCCAAACTTCTTCCAGCCCACCAGAAGCAGCCTTAGGAGGACAATGCCAATGTCGTCATAGTGGCAGTGGAGTGGCTCCAAACTGTTGACACATCTTTAAAGGGTGCTCAGCTAAGTTTTGGGCTCAGGGTCACCTTTTGGGTAGCTCCTGTAAAGTATGGGCTAAAAGCCGAAGTGGATCGGCTGCCATTGGGATCCACCTAGCTGCTCTGGATGCAAGCAACATTGCAAACAGAAAATTAGGCCTGAGTGAAGGTTGTCCTAAAATAATTATTCACATCCCTAAAGTAGGAAGAGTTTTGGATTCCCCCCCCCCACCTGCTACTTAGGTGCATAATCAGACCATACATTTAAGCTGCAGGACCACCTTCTTAATTTGTATGTCTTTGTTTGGGCATCTCTGAACTACAGACCTTCTGGTTTTGGGGTGTGTGTGTGTGTTTCCTTAAATGAATTTTAGAAGACATCTTCCTTGAAAAGAAACCAGAATTATTATTATTATTTTTTTTGCTGCTGGCATTAAGTGTTGAAGCGGCAGCATTTTTCTATGTGAAGAGTTGTGTGGGAAGGTCTCTTGGAAAAAAGAGCTGTAATTTTAGATGTTTGGGTTCTTGTTCCAAGGGGAGAAAAAGACCTTGAAGATATACTTATGTGGCAAGTTTGAAAAGTGGTGTGTAACTGGGGAGGTTGCGTCCAAACCACTAAAAACGCAAGTCCTCCGACCAGCGGAACCCCAAGTTGCAACAGCGAGACACAGCAACCGAGGACGGAGGTTGTTAGCAACAGCTCTGCGCTCCCAGGCTGGGCCGTGGCAAATCTTCCAAAAAATGCATGGATTCTGGGATCCATGGAAAATAGATTAATGTTTCTAAGCACCATGGCTGTTTTTTATTCTCCACTGCCTCACTGGAAAGTGGGGGGGGGGGGGNGGAGGGAAGCAGAATCTTCCTGGGCAGTCTCTGGAGCGATGGGTTCTGCAGGCCAGGAGCAGACCATTGACCTACATCCAGCTGTCCAGCACCAGCTGTTTGGAAGGCAAGGGGAAAATATTTCTAAAGAACTCCATGCAGGCTGGCATTTGACTGTTGAGAATGAGTGGAACTGTCGCCTTGACCGGTTTGCTTGCAGCCATAATGGATGAGCCAAAAGCTGATTCGAGGTGGAACGGTTTCTTCCAAAAATTAGGCAGACATTTTCAGCATAGATGGCCAAGACCCCCTTGGAGGTGCAAAGATGAGGGGAACAAAGCTCTTTTGTCCCTTTGGCTTTAAATAGAGTTTGGCCATCATCCTCTCAATTGCACCAGCCTCTATTTTCGTCTCCAGAGTTCCCTTGAATAATGCTTGAATCTACAACTCAGTGTGGGGTGTCTTTGTTTTTATATATTTTTTCCTGGCTCTGCCCCTGGAAGGGTGCTGTAGCCTAAATTTCATTGGCCATCAAAACTAGAGTGAATTCTTGGAGGGGGGGGTGAGGGAAGGCTCCTTGGTGAGTCAACACTTCCCTAAGTTCTCTTGATTCAGCGGCTGGGATCCAGTTGGGCAGTTCTGCAGAAAAGTGTAGCTGGTGGGCTCAAACTGCCATAACTCAAGAACCCTCTGTAGATCTTTATCCATGGTTGATCATTGTGGCTTAAATATGTGGTCTGTACTATCAGATGGCCACTGTACCCTGTACATGCGTGTGCTAAACGTGTAAGGTTTTCTGCTCCTACCCCAGTGGATAACAATGGACAGCCCATGAATCGGTGAAAACAATGATGGGGACCTTTTGAGATCTGGACTTGTGCCGTGAGTGCATTCAACCAGTACATGGTTTGCAGCATCAGGAGTGAAGCATCTTCCAATTTTTCTTCTTTCCCTTCCCTGTATGTTACTTCGTGGTTTAATGACACCTTAGTTTACCCAATCAGTTTACAATCTGAGGGAGGTCGCCAAACCAGCATAGGAGTTTGTATTAGTTTTTGTTTGTTACTTATATTTTTGTTTGGAAGGGAATTAACTTAGAAGCCTCATCCATGTGGACACTTTCAGATTTTGAGAAGGTTCTGTTTATGGACTACCACCCCCAGAATCTTTGTGGACAAGCTGAGTAGGAGGATTCCCAAAATTGGGGTCTGAAAAAGTAACTTTTCCAAGCTCTGGATGCTTTGGTGTATGATCTGCATTGCAAAAATGTCACATGAGTGGGACGGATGGAATCTCTAACACATGACATTATCTGGTGGTCTCCCATCCTGTTAAAAACTAGGGGCAACTCTGCTTAGCTTCTGAAATCAAAATAAAGGAGGTACATTCAAGGTGCCATGATAGTACAGTGGTGCCCCCCAATACGACGACAAAACTGCAGTACGACTACTTTTTTGTGATTGCTATAGCGATCGCAAAACGATGGTTCCTATGGGGGAAAACCGCTTTACGATGATTAGGTCCTTGTTTTGTGAACCGCTTGTTCGCTAAATGACGATTTTTCCGGCTCCGCAAAATGGCTGGCTTCCCTTTGCAAAATGGGTGTTTTCCGGACAGAAGCTTCGCAAGACAGGGATTTTAAACAGCTGATTGGCAGTTCTCTATGGGCGATCTTCGCTGGACGGTGAGGTATTTCCCCATTGGAACGCATTAAACAGTTTTCAGTGCATTCCAATTGGGATTTTTTTTCGCATGACAACGATTTTGCTCTACAGCGATTTTCCTGTTTTCAATGCATTCCAATTGGGATTTTTTCCCCGCATGACAACAATTTTGCTCTACGGCGATTTTCCTGGAACAGATTATCGTCGTCATGCGGGGCACCACTGTACTCTTGTTATCTTCATTGCAGTTCTTGCTCACTTTTTTGTGGGTTATATATTTATGGAACTGATAAGTAAATGAATTATGGAAAAAGTGCTTTGAATACAGGAAGGAATCCTTATAAAATGCAAGGTTTCTCTCTCTCTCTCTCCCACCTCACTCAAACCATTTAAGAATCCAGCTCTCTTTTCTGATTATGTGGCAGAAAAAAATCAGATGACAAGTTCTGCCTAGTGACATGATCAGGGAGCCAAAATAATTCACGCTGAGACGGAAGTGAGGACTAGAGAGACTCAGCCTTGGCAGGATTCTGCGGTGTGCTGTGTTAAAAATCTAGCAACAGCTGTTGTCGATTCTAGTCCAGGAAGAGTCCAGAAGGTTTACAGGGTTTGTAAATCATCTACATGTGCATTTCAAAGGGTCCCTTGAATTATGGGCATTTCTCCTTCTATTATCCCAGCCAAAGTGGAAGGCCTTTCGAACCGTTGGCCGCTCCTGATGAGGTGCCCAGGTGATTTGAACTGTAATAAAGTGACAGCGCTTCTGTAATTAAAACAATATTTTCTGTAACCATTTCCCCCCCCCCAGGTCCGGAAGTGTCCTGCACCACTGGAATGAAATCTATTACTTTGTGGAACATCTGGCCCACAAATTCATAAGGTAAGACTTTATGGCTGTCTCACCACAGAAGTGAAGGATGGAAGATGGATCTCAGTGGGCTCAACCACCTTTAGGCTGTTCAGCATCCTCTACTGTGCATGACTACTCAGGAGTAAGTTTTGTTCTGTGTGATTATTTCTCACTAAGTTCAGCCGGTCCTTTTGGTTTGCTTCACGCCTACTTTTGAGTAAGTGTGCACAGAGGAAAGCCTGCGTGCCTGTGTTATATCACTGACTTCTATAGCCAACCATAAACAACACCAGGTGAAAATCAAACATAATTGATCTTTCTTGATGCTTTATGTACTTCTTGCAAAGTCTCTGTTATGGCTGATCTGATGGTCGTTGTGAATCTCTCGCCCTCCATTTTCCTCCTGTGAATTCAGAATATTATTCATTTGCCTTTTGACTGGCCAGTTGCAGAGTTTAGAAGGTTACACCTCCTTTTTTTTTAACCTGCCACTCTCTTTATTATTTGGCATACCTTTGCTTTTCAAAAGAGAACTAGGAAGCAGTAGCCACAGAGAGCATCTTAAAAGATGTGTATGTGTTATCTCTTGTCAAGTCAGCATAAACGTAGAGCTTTTGAAGTAAATGGGATATTAAAGGAGTGGCTTTAACAGTCTGATTCCTCCAGTGGGTTTCCATGGCCAAGGGGGGCATTCAAGCCCAGTTCTCCAGAGCCCATTGCTCTACCCACTACACCACATTGGGAATCTTATCTTAAAAAGAGAGGTCTGCATATGAGGAGAAGAGAAAAAGTAGAGTGGGAAGGGTCAGTGGTGGAAAGAGAAGCCTTGAATCTTGACATTGCAAACAGACAGTTGTCAGTCAGCAGTGCCAGGGACATGGCGATTCCACATTTTCAGAGGTAACACAAGCATAGTAATCAACACAGTTTTGTGCAAAGGGGAAATTCTGCAAGCCTGTTGCACAAGTGAAGGTGGACCCAGTTGTTTAACAGATTTGTACGGTTGTTTCTGCCACAACTGTGACCTGGGATCAGCCCAACTGCATTGGGGTGGGGTGGGCCGGCCTGCCATTTTGTTGGGTTGAGCCCAGACACATCCCTGACTGCAGAGAGATCAGTGATGGACGTGAAGCGGGTCATAGATTGTAACTCTTGTGGTTTTCCTTTTCCAGCCCTCAACTGAGGATGTCATTCATTGTTTTCTCAACCAGAGGCTCAACTCTAATGAGACTTACTGAAGACAGGTAAGGAGGACTGGAAAAGTTATAGATTAGGGGCAGCTGCTCGTGCTTAGGAATGGTGGGGCATTTCATTTGGTCTGCCTTTCAAAGCAAACTGTCCTGAATTCATATATGGGTCAGAACACTGATATTCCTGGATTGCCAGAGCTCTCCAAATTTTGCAATTAGGCATTCTCATCTATTTACAGAAGTGCTTGTTTAAGGAAAGATGCATGCAAAAATGCACCAATAGAAATTTACTTACAAAAATGTGTGTATTAAGCAGTTAGTTGGCAAAATGTCCATGCTAGAAATAGTTGCTTATGAAAATTATTTGTTTGCAATTTCTTTTTTAACATCCCAAACCAATGTGGAAATTGGCCAGCATGGATTTAGAACAAAGTAGAAACATGTTGAGCCATAATCCCCTATTCTGATCCTTAGTGTTTTAAAGACTGCTTCATCCCAGATAAGTTTACTTACTGGTGTGGTCCCGATCCTTGGGTTTGCTGCATCTTCCTTTCACATGATAGGCTTGGGTGGTGTTGGTCAGTGTTGGTCTTTCACGACCAGTTCTTGGGATTTTTCCCCCAGAAGGACCTGAAGACAGATCCACGTCTGCTGTTTGTTGTTTTTTAAAGAAATCTAACTTGGTGACATTTCTTTGTTGCTGCTTTTAAGAAGGCTGTAAAACTTCCCTGATTTACCAAATTAGTAGTTTTATATTCATCTGTTTATTTGTTTGGCAGCCGCTTTGAGTTATTAGCTGTGACATGCAGTTGTTTGTGCTTATATTTTATGATTGGTTACTTCTGTGTAAACCACAGTGAGCTTTGCAGGGAAAGTAGTATAAACGGTTAATGAATGAATGAAGGCCAGCTCGGTTTTCGGGTTTAAAAAGTTGTCTGGCCTTCTTAGATCCTCGTAGAGGGTGCTGTCCTTTGCTATGAGATATAATTTGGTTTATTTATTTATTTATTTATTTATTTATTCATTCATTCATTCATTCATTCATTCATTCATTCATTCATTTATTTATTTATTTAACGTATATGCCGCCCACACTACCCAAAGGTCCCTGGGTGGCTTACAACGTGATTCCATGAAAGCTTTAATGTTTGTTTGACTGATTGTATGTATGTCGTTTATGGTTGAAATTGTTATTTTGTGAATCTTCCAGAGGGGTTTGGAGATTGCAAGGGTGAAGAGCATGCGGTTGCCTAGGTAACAGTTGGACTACAGTCTCCATCATCCTTCATCTTCGTCTGTGTTGGCTAGGATTGATGGGAGCTGACTCTATCACCTTTTAAAATATTTATTGTTTAATTGTTGATTAAGTAATAGTCTAATTTAGTTCTATTTTATCTTGCATTGTGTTTATGTTTTTAAATTTTATATTTACTTATAGCATTGTCTTTTGTTCAACTATGTTGTGATCAGCCCAGAGTAGCTTCAGCTGGATGGGTGGCATACAAATTAAATAAAATCAATAAATATATGAATAAATAAATTTAATAACAATAGCTGCATTTCCACAGCATTTGGAGGGCCACATGCACCTGACCCCTGAGCTAGTGAGCAATAAATAAAGCTAAATTGAAAGTATTGGGAAGCCATAAATGACTCATATTTCCACCAGGAGCATTTATGAAAATTTTAATACTTGCAACCACAAGAAAATTGTCACAGCCTTCCGATGTTCCTTTTCCTTCCTCTGCATCTGTTGGATTGTGGTGGGCTCAGCCTTTAAGAAGGCTGCCGTTGCATCCAGGTTAAAGGAGCTTGGCTATATGTTACATTTACTTCACACAAGAAAGGAAGAACAGATTATCGTCGAGGAAAGGAAAGGGAGGGAGGAAAGGAAAGGAAAGGCCACATTTTGTAAACTGGGCTTTGCCTGTTGAGAAGCAAAAGGGTTTCCTGCAGACAGGCAGAGAAATCATGATTGTAGGAGAACACACAGGGAAGCCATAAATGTCTCTGGAGAGCAGGAGGTGAGGGAAGCAACTCAGGTGAAATGACAGGAGGGTGCAGTGGCTGTAAGACTTCAGCTGTTCTCCCTTGAATCCCCAGGCCCGATCCTGCACCTAGAGAACGAAGCTGAAGGTATGGATGTTGTACCCCTCAATGAGGCTGCTTCCTTTTGATGCAGTGGCAGAAGCTGCCTTTAGCAAATAAGGAAACCTTGTAGAAGCCCCCTATGTGACTTTCTCATAACACGGTGGTGGTTTCAGGCTCAATCTGGCCACATCAGCCAACGTACGTCTGGGGCTGAGGGCCCCATGTTTTGTTTGGAGGCACAACATGTGGTTTTCCTGGCAACGAGCCGGCTCCTTCAGCTCTGATTTCCTTATCAGGATGAGAGTGGCGTGCAAGGGTTTAACTTTGGGACAGCCTTTGCTTGGATTCTTCTCAACCTCCATCTTTTTCTGCACAAATGAACTTCTCTGGAAGACAAACTTGTAGGGGGAAAAAAAAACAATGTGCCTTGTGCAGCCAGTTGTCAGCCTGACCTGGAGGGAGCAAAGCAGAATCCAGGACGGTACTTTAGAACTCTCCAAATATGACATTGTAAAAATGTATAAAAGGTGCTTCATTGCTGAAACCTAAGCCCCTCTGTTTCTAATTTCCTGAAAAGCAATGAGAGCTGGAGCTGAAATCTGAGGAGGAGACGCCTGGGTAGAAGAGAGGAATGTCTGGTGCCATCGGTGACACGGCAACCCCTGGTTTGTGTGGTGCTTTACAAAGAATGTGGAGACAGGTCTCTGCCTCAAGAGACTTCTACAGGAGAAGTGTCTTTCCAAACCTTTTCTGTCAATGGGTCATCTGAGTGGTTCCTCAGCATCTGCATTGAGGGTGGATTCGTGGAGGGAGGGTGTGCCTGTTATTTGAGAGACATCAACAAATAAGCCCACCCAAGTCTCAGAATCCTCTAAGAGAGAAACTAGCGCCTAGTGCACTGGTTTAGATGCGTAACGTAGATTAATTTAGAACCTTGTCTGATGAAATCCAGCAAGTATGTTAGCGAGGCTGGAAATTAACTCTGAAGGCACGCACGAGGCAGAGCGTGTTCCGCCATACTGGCACGATCTTATCTGGTGATTAAGAAGGCAGGCGCTGAGTCTGTGCAGACACGAGTCTTCGCTCTGGGTCTGTTTTCCTTCTCCGGCTCTGTCCTGTCCCTCGTACTCTCTGAAAGGACTTGCAGACCTTTGCTTCCTCAAAGTAGGATGTTCAAAGAGCACCCACGTAAACTAAGACAACGTGGCCATTAAAGGCGTCCACGAGTAGATATACTCCTATACAAATCCCAGTTCTTGTTGTATCCTGGTGCTGTTTTAGTAGAAACTGGCCATTGTGAGTTACCCTTCTTTAGATTTTGTGTCTCTCTTTTGGGTCCATAAGAGTCTCCCTAGAACGGGACAGATGCATCTTGTGTCTCATAACGTGTGCCTCTCCACGAATGCACATGAACACCAAGGCACTACCTTACATATAACCACCCACTGCAAATTCATGTTGAACTATTGGTGACACTGGCTTGGGCACGTTGTGAGAATGGCTGATGGTCGGATTCCAAAGGATCTCCTATATGGAGAATTAGTGCAGGGAAATCGCCCCAGGCCACACTAGACGCTGTTCCAAGTCGTCCATACAGAGCATGATACCATAGTCTTTCGAGACTGAAGGATGCCTACAATTGGTGACACATGGGTTTACCGTTAACTCGAAGGAAAACAAGAGAAGTGAATTATGCAGCCAAAAATGCAGAATAATGTGGACGAAAGGGACCTTGGTGGTGGTCTTGTAGGATGGATTTTCTTCTTTAAGGGGGTTTGCCTGGCTCTCTCCCTTGTGAGATCCCAGTGGGGCATCAAATCATCTCTCTGTGAGCCTCTGGAATTAGTTGGGTTTTGTATTTTAGTTCTCCGGTTGCTTATTTTTAAAAATTATTATTGCAGTGATTTGTCTTGCATTGCTTTCTGCTACATGCAGGGGGAAGGCAAGTGGTGAATATTTCTAATGAATATTTGAAAGAAATAATTGCAATGTTGTTTTCTTTCTAGAGGGAAACATCCCTTCCCTGCTCCTAAAATCTGTGAAATTGCCTGGCCTTTGTTGATGCCGTTTGTGGGGTTAGTTATAGAACGGTGGATTATTCTGAAATGCCGTGTGTGCCCTCTGTCTGGGGGGACCTTCTCGTCCCAGGAGAGCCACCTTCTTCTCAGGAATTGTGAGAATGTGCAATGGGAAAGTGTCGAAACGGCTCTACTCTCTCCTGCTGCATTTCATGGAGACCTGCACATGTGGTGATTTGACTGGCAGTCGGGTTCCCATGGAGATAGCAGCTGGGTGAGCTCATTCACAGATAGGGTGCCTTTCCACAAAAGCCATGTCTGACTTTTAAAGGCTCCCGAAGGCCAGTTGGCTCGTACCAGCCGTTTTTTGTCACAGCTGAGTGAAAACACAACAGAGCCCACCCTGTTTGGCCTGTTTTTAATCTGTCAGTGAGCTTGGGCTGTTAAAAAAGGGGAAGGAAAGAAAAAGATTAAACTAGATATCAAGGACTTTTAAAAGCCTTTCCCATGAACTCATTAATTTTGAAATGGGACGTTGGGTGGAAGAAGGAAGGAGGGCCACAGCGGATTCTGTAAACTTAGAGAGTGAGGATTAAAGCTTCCGTTACTGTGATCAGATCGACAGCATCTAATGCCGTTTGTGTCACTTGTCGTTGATAACACAGAAGACGGTTTTAGAGGCCGGTGTGACCTTGAACTTCAGCTGCAAATTGCATGGCTGGAAAAGGCTGCTTGGATATGAGGGGATCTCATATCGCCTTGTTTCTCACTGTAAGCAGAAATACAGCTGGCACTTATGGATTTTAATGTGAAATGGGTTTCTTAAAGTGTATCTTGTGAGAAAGGACACAGACCAATATGCGTTTAAGCATGTTTGTGTCCAGAAAGGGCCTCTTAATGCAGAAACGGAATGGAACAGGTCATGGATGGATGGCTTGAAAACAGGAGCCACATCCTCTCTGTCTTTCTCTCGGTGTCACTGTCTATAAGACTTCTGTCCTTTTCACGGCAGTATTACAGCCAGCACGGGCTGCTTCTGTTTTGCAGCACACAACAGACCGTGGAGCAAAGGGAGAGCCGGTTTGCATGATTGTAGCATAAAACATAAAGGGTGAAGTTCTCACCCAAATGGAAATGTTTCTTGTACTGATAGCCTTCACACATGAAACGGAGCAAAATTAACGCATGCTTGGGGCCATTTGCTTCAGTTGGGTGAGGTTTTGTTGTGTGTTTTGCCTTGAGGCCTGTGTTTGTGTCTCATTCTGTCCCTGTGTGGGGTGTCCAACATGGTCTCTTGGAAGAACCAGAGTGAAGAAGGGGTGGGGTTGGAGGCAGAAGGTTGCAGCCCCACGGGGTTTAGATGGAGGTGGTGGTGGGGAAAGCTTAAAAAGTGTTTCCGATCAAGATAGACTGGCCACAAGTATTAACTCTTTAAGAAATGTCCACGCAATGTGTTGTTACTCCAAGTATGTTAATATAGGGTTACACCAATTGTTACGGAAGTTACGATGGTAACCTGTTCCTTGAAATTATTGTAAGAAAAAGTGGTTTGAGTTTTCCTGCATGGAGAGGTGGCCAACAGTTTTCTGCTGCGTGAAAGAGGCCCTGTTCTAACCTGCCTCCCTAAATATATGGTTTTGCCTTTATGTCATCTAATTGGGGTCAAGCCCATAAGATCTTGAAAAGTGACGGTGGAAAGGTCAGCCGTGTCTGTAGTATGTAACTGAAGGTAAAGGTAAAGGTTCCCCTTGACAATTTTTGTCCAGTCGTGTTCGACTCTAGGGGGTGGTGCTCATCCCCGTTTCCACGCCAGCGTTTTGTCCGAAGACGATCTTCCATGGTCACATGGCCAGTGCGACTTAGACACGGAACGCTGTTACCTTCCCACCGAGGTGGTCCCTATTTATCTACTTGCATTTGCATGCTTTCGAACCGCTAGGTTGGCGGGAGCTGGGACAAGCTACGGGCGCTCACTCCGTCGCGTGGATTCGATCTTATGACTGCTGGTCTTCTGACCCTGCAGCACAGGCTTCTGTGGTTTAGCCCACAGCGCCACCACGTCCCCATGTAACTGAAAGAATGTCCAAAAATAACAAGAAGGGATCTAAACGTTTGTTTGAATAAACACGCTTAGATAAACTGCCATGATAGGATTAGATCCCCAGACAAGACAAAATATGTTTGTGTTGATCTTTGAATATCCATGGATTGTGACAACCCTGAAGTGCAACTGACTGACTGCTTTCATATTCCTGTTGGTGACTTTGTTATGAATCTTTGCTTGGAAACAGCCCCCCCAATGTCTTCACACATCTCTTTGCACTTCTTGGTATTCAGATATGCAAAGTCAGTAGCCTGGACTGATTTTGTAGTTCAGAGGCGAACAGCCGGCTGTGAAATGACAGCTGTGAACAATACGCCTTCTCCACGGTACCGCCCCCTTGAGAGGGGCTGGACTTGATGATCTAGAGGGTCCCTTCCAGCTCTGCTATTCTAAGACAGTTGTTTTTGTGGTGGTGGCGGCGGTGGTGGTCCAGTCACAGATCATTTTAGACATGGATTGACTGTGACGTGAACCAGCGCAGAAGCCCATGGATGGTGTGGCTGGATGGGAAATTCGCTATGTAAAATGCATTTTTATGGCATTTCACAAGAAGCATATCATCGGCTTAGAGAGAGCCACAAGGAGAGACAAACTGCATGTTATCCTAAGAGTACCGTATCTTACCAAGGTGGTCACGTGTGACCTGACCAGAGGAGGAGGTTGTGGTGGGTGGCTTTTCTCTTTCCTTCCAGACTGGCAGTTTCCAGGGAGGAAGACTAGACTATATAAAAAACCCTTTGTGTGCCCGGGTACTCCTCGGTCATGAGGAAGGAGGACTAATCACTGATGCAGCATCGGGCTGCAGAGATCCATGCCCAGTTGGACCCAAGGGGGCTCCACAGTGTGCATGGGCTTCTCTGTGTTTCCTTTTGGCTGTGTTGTGTACAAGGTTGCCTCCATGTCAGCCTGCTCTACTGTAAACCATCTAAGGGAACCGGTTCCTCTCTGTCTTCATCAGGACCCCCAAACGCAAACTCACCAGGGTTTGGGCTGGTGCACCCAAACACCCATGAGCCCACCTGGGATAGGCAGGAGGCAAGGTAGCAAAGACCTGTGACTCATGTCGGTGGGCAGGCAGGAAGAGAGATTGCAGCAAACTCATTGAAAATATGCTAGAAAGGTGAAATGCAAGATCTTTTTGGCGGCCTGCTCTATTACAGCCAGAGAGTTAGCAGCTGGAGCAGAAGGGCTGAATGGTTAAGGAAAGCTTATTTGCTGAGAGTCATTTTAAAAGCTGGTTTTTCATCTGCCGGAAAGCATTCCAACATTTCTCAGGGAACCTTTATGGAGAGACACACACACGCATCCGCTGTATCCACAGCCACTCTGATTCTGCCTGTTCTTCTCCTATGTGGTCTCAGTGGAGACAAAGGCAGGTAAAAACCAAAGTATTTGTTAACACGATATAACAAATGGGCCTACTCTAGACATAACAACATCTGGATCCAGCCCCATATGAGGAAGTGAAAATAAAAGGTACACTTGCTTCAAATTACTGGTTGCGACTTCTTGAAAAAAAAATATTCCCTGTGTATCAAAGCTGGAGACCCTGAGCGTGCATACAGGGTGGGCTGAACTTGGAGTCAGGAATGTAGAGCCTGTTTGATTGGTTTGAAATTTGATTAGAGGCATCATTGAGAAAAACGGAGTGGTGGGAATCTTTGGCATGCCCATTTTTAAAATCCAGGTTTTTCTTAACAGACGATGACGTGTTCTGCTCTTGCAGGGAACAAATTCGACAAGGCTTGGAGGAGCTTCGGAAAGTCCTGCCGGGAGGAGACACTTACATGCACGAAGGATTTGAAAGGGTAAATAGGGGCAAACCACACGCGTGTGGTGAGGTTTCTCCCTGGGCTCGCCTGGGTGGGCGGCTGGTGGTGGACTGTGCCTCAGCAACTCCAGCGAATGGCATTTATTTGAAAAATATGGCTTTTGCTAAACCTGGGACCTCAACCTTTGCCCCAAACCTCTGGAGCAGTAAATTAATTCGAAACATCTCTGCATCATTGATGGTCCTCCTTGATTCTGTTTCAGGCGAGTGAGCAGATTTACCATGAAAATGTTCAAGGTGAGACTAGTTGATACATCTCTCTCTCTCCCCCACCCACCTTACTTTAGCTTTGTGTTGTGAAGGGCTATTTGTAAGCAGAAATCTTGACTTCCCTTTATCTCTAATGTATAAATGCTGACCCTAATTTACAGCATCAAGAACCCTTCCGTAAGTCGCATTCTCTCCCATCACCTCCAAAAAAAGCAACTGAACACAATTTCCCAGCTGGACTGCATTCTTTTCACTTTTTCCAGCAAGGCAGACAATTAAAAACGCAGCTGCTCTTATCTTTGCAGGGGGAGAGGGGGGGAAACCCTCCCACTGACAACTTAAGATAGGTTAAAGAGGCTAATAATTATTGGGTCTTTCTTTGATGATTTTCTTCAGGCAGTAGTCTTGAGATTACGAAAAGAATATGTCAAAACCCGGTCCTTTCAGAGATATTTTAAGATTTATAGCACGAAGCAGATGGCCTGCAGTCCAAATTATCTTTAATTGGTTCTGCTCCCCCCCCTCCATGGCAGTGTGACTTTTCAGCTGACACTTAATGACAGGCCTGGGCTGCCTGAGACGGAGATAACTATCTTGTTACAATAAGTGTGTGTTTTGGCAGTAAATCTGCTCTTTCTGCTGTTGGCATGATGTAATTGAGATGATAGCATGCTTGAGTCTTCTGCTCTCTGAGCAGTTCCATCAGGTGGGCGCGGCTCCAAAACAGATCCAGAGTTCATGACTCTTTCGGAGACCCTGTGGCTTAGCGCTAAACTAGAAAGCAGAATAAATGCATGGGCTTGGGTGGAAAGTGGGGACCCCTCCTTCTGGACTTGACTCATCCATCATTTCTAGGCCAGGGGTAAGCTGACTGAGCTGTTGTGTGAATTCTGCCTTTTTCCCTCCACCCTAATTCCCATGGCTTAACTCGACAGGTTTTAACTTTGAAAGTCGGGATGCGCGCTTGGAAAAATCTTCCCCTGTTAAAACATATCAGAGCTCCCTGCCTGGTTTGCTTAAGATTGCAGGCATTTTTCTGGATTAAACCAAGGCTCTCTCGGGCTGTAGTTCCCAGAAGCCTTTGCCACCAGCTGTGCTGGCTGGGGTTTTCTGGGAGTTGCAGTCCAAGAACACCTGGGTTTACCTGGGTTCACATGGCCATACCTTGAGCAAAGGGAGATCCATTATTAGGGATAAGCCATGGCATCAGGAGAGATCCCCTTACATTCAGGAGAAATGTGTAGTATATTGGGAGTTTTGTCAGGAAGTTGAGCTTAGTTTCGTATAACCTTCACTTGCCCCCCCCCCCCCCAAATTTGATGCTTGTTTCCATTTTTGCCTGTTTCTAACCCTATGGCCAAAATGGCTGTCAACTCTTCAGGCTACAGGACGGCCAGTGTCATCATAGCGCTGACCGATGGAGAACTTCACGAGGATCTGTTCTTCTACGCAGAGCGAGAGGTAAGACATTTGTGAGTGCAAGCAATGCCCTCACACGTCCCTGGTCTTTATTTCTCCTGGGGCTTTCAATGAATCAACCAAACACTATGTTATATACAGCTTGATATAGTCCTCGAAGATGCAGATTTGAGAGTTTCCTGAGCATGCACAGAAAGCCTTTTCCTTTCTCATGAATCATGTCAGCCTGGTTGTGTAACTAGTCCTGGGGAAGAGAGTTCTTGGATCCGTGGGTGTGTCCCTGAGGCAGGTGTGAATCCTGGCCTCGCTCTTTAGGAAGGAAGCTCCTTGTCTGATCTCAGCATTTGTCTGGTGTTCAACTCTATGATTCGCTAGATTTGCTTGACATGGAGCTGCCTGCTCCCATTCTTTTCCTCTTTTAGGTAATTGTCTGTGTTGAAAGACCTCCACTTTCGTGCATTTATTTCCAAAGGCCCCGTGGCTGTCTCAGAATTTGGAAAAATCTGCTTTTTGGGGTGACAACTCCTAGAAACACCAACCAGCGTAGACCATAGATTCTGCTTAATACAGGGTTCACGCTAAAGGAAAGGAAAAAGTTAGAATAGATGAGCTACGTACACCAGGACGTATCACTGACTGGTTGGTAATAATCCTAGTATATCGTTCTGTGTACACATAACCATTGTGACGTATCACTGACTGGTTGGTAATAATCCAGGACACTCTAGTACCTCCTTGTGCCTTTGTTCAAGAAAAATCCTTCAGTACATGAGTACTAGGTTATGTGCTGAAATGTTCAGGTACGTCCATGAGCAGTTATGTGTCCAGCATGTCTGTTCCAAGTAATCTGGAGATTCCCCCGTGACCACATCTCAACCAGGATTTGCAGTTTTCTGTGTCTCATGTTCAAATGCACACCCAGCCTTCCTGGTTCCTAAAACTTGACCACAAGGATGGCCGTTAATCACTCTGACTTCCCAATGGCTGATCGCAACCGAACCCCTCTGCTCAGCTATACTCCCTTAAAACCTCAGTAGTTCTTAAAACCTCAATAGAAGGCACTGTCTTTACCGTCATCCTTCCTGCTTTGAGCTCTTACTGCATGGGAATGGGACGGTAATTGATATTCCTTCTCCATGCAGATTAACTCACCATTTTATCTCTTACCAGGTGTTTTTTTTCCCTCCCCAGAAAAGCAAAGATATGCTTTCTTTGTGGTAACTCAATTCATTCATCTTGTTTCGACTCGGGGAATTGTGGGGTCCCTGTCGAGACTGACGGCATACCTTTGCACCCATAAATACTGTGTTTTGTCTGCCCGGGTCTGTCTGTCTGGTGATGAAAACTAGCATTTTCTTTAGCAAGTCTGACAGCAAGGCTTTGATTTCTTGCGGGAGACGGGGCGAACACGGGAACCTTGCCCAGACAAGCTGGAAGCCACAGACTCGATGGGTCAGGGGTTCAGCTTGCAGACAGATGCGACTGTGCAAATCGCAAATGGGTTTTGTCTGATGCACCTAAAACTCCCCACCGTTTGGGCAGAGACAAAAATAACATTGAGCTAGAACTCGAAGCTGTTCTAGACGATCAGTTCTTAGAAAGCCACAAAGCTTCTGGTGTTGTCTTCATCCTTCAGCTCCAGAAGGGCCAGAAACTAGACACTTACACCAGATGTGCAGCTTCTTGTGCTTCGGGATGGAGTGTTTATGGACTACAGATCTCAGGATGGGAGCAGCTGGAGCGTTCAGGAGGAACGCTCCCTTGGAGGCTACCCCTAGTAATTGCAGCCTGAGGCAGCAGTCCTCTCACTGTGGTAGGGGTGTACTTAATAATCATCTTAGAACGGTAGAGCTGGAAGGAACTGTATGGATCCCTAAGTGCCGTCCCTTTCAGTTTGTAAACTGTTGGATGGAACTGAAGGGATGTGTGTGTGATTTTGCATGCTATGCACTTTTTTGACGCTTGATTTGAATTTCCAAATTGGTAACGACTGCATATTGGCCCTTCTGCCTTTAACCCCTCCCGCGGTTCGAATGAAGCTCCAGGGACTCCTCCCCCACCCCGTGCTGTTTTGGGACATCGAGACAAAGGTGCAGAGGGTTGCACCTCTCTGAGCGGCAGGCAGGTGGGCAGTTTCACCTGACTCCACCTAAGCCTGCTCATTCTACGGGAGCAGAGTGTAACATTTTGCAGCCGTGAGATGTCTTATGTAATTTCTCCTGTGGACCTACATGCATTTTATGCTCTGAGGTCATCTTTGCAATTAGACCAGCGGCTATGGCCCTTCTTCCCAGCTCAGGGGGGGGAAAAAAGGCTTTCGGCCAGGCATTCCTCAGAAACAGGCCGAGTGACTGGATGTGCTCCAAGCACAAAGTCCCTCAACGCTAATTTAATTTTGTTTGCAGTGGGTGGAGTTGAGAGCTAAGGCCGAGAAGACCTATAAGGCCCTCCTGCTTGCATTGCTATTAGAAGAGGTCCTTCCATCTCCTTTAGTGCATTTTAATTGCTTTTTTAAAAAAATGGAACCAGAAGCTTTGGAGAGATGCCTCCAGTTATGCAGATCTTTAAAAGCAAATTTAGCTGACAAGGCATCTCGCCAGCAAAAGAGTCACCGTGATGGCGCGCTGTCCTTTCCCAAAAAGCATTCCAGCCCAGAAGGACGTGTTGCCAAGCTCAGAACATGCATCCCATAATTCATTAGCTCCACACCAGGCACTCAAAGCTTAATAAAGCCAATTATGTTATCTGTTCAGGAGTGCTGCTGACGCCGTGTGAGAGAATGGATGACACCCAGTTCGCTGGTGGGTGCAAAAAATCTGGGTTTCTTTTGATGAGATGTTGGAGCGAAGCATCATTGGGAGGGAAACACGGGGATCCTAATGAGCGGTTGCCTTTTTCAGTGACAATCCAGCTTCAGGCCTTAAAGGAACCCAATGGAAAAGTTAGGGGGTTTTTTTTGAGTCAATGCTAAGCTAGACAGCAAAAGATTGAAAAAATAAAGAGGGCAGGAAGCTCTGTTAGTGATAAGATGTTGGTGTGTTTCGTGCTGTCAAGTCAGAAGCGACTTGTAGTGACCCTAAACAGGCTCTCCAGGTCTGTGAGATGTTTCAGGAGGGGCTCCACTCCCCCAGTGAGTTTCTCTGGCTGAGTGGGGGATTTGAACTTCGTCTCCAGAATCTTAGTCTGTCACTCTCTCCACTACACCGCACTGGGTATAAGACACAGAAGTGTGGAGATCTACATAAGCAAGTGAGGAAGAGGACCAATGTCTGCCTTTCTCCACGAGCTTGTTATTTTATTCTCCTAGTTCTTACTGGTTTTATTGTACTGTATATTCTGGGAGTCTTGTATGGCCAGAGGATAGAATGGTCCATGAGCCACCCTATTCTCTGGCAGGGGATCCAGCATCTTAACAGTGCATCCTGCCCTCAACCAGGCTTGGTTGGTACAGTCAACGTGCCACGTTCTCTGGCAGGGCTCTGCCGGGCAGGGAGGTCTACCAGCTCTTAAGAGGAGTAAAGGTTGGAGAATTGCCATATGTACCAGCATCATGTATTGAATCTGCTTTGGCCCGCTATCAATTCTTTGTCCTCTTTTCCAAGGCTAACCGATCCCGCGAGCTGGGAGCCACTGTCTATTGTGTTGGCGTGAAAGATTTTAATGAAACTCAGGTAACAGAACTTCAATTTCTATTACGTTTTTGATGAAGACCCTTTCCTGTGAATTTTGTATGCAAGTCAGGCCACCTTAAGTATCTGAAAATGGAATCTGTTCTCAGTTGTCTCAAAGTGCAGGACACATAAACTTGGGCTCAAGTAACAGGAAGCTAGATTTCCATTGACAATCAGGAGAAGCTTTGTAATACTGAATTGTGCAACACCCTGATATAAATATAGGAAGATAACAGAATGTGTTGCAGCCGTATAGAAGGTGTGTAGTTTGAAGCATCTGAACCTAGCGTGTGTGGAGGACAAATGCTTTATATTGGCTTTAGTCAAGGTTCCTTCTAAGGTGTGTGACTGTGTGAGGGCCAGGGTGACCATTAGAGGGATTGCTGGTTATAATATAACTTAAAATCCAGTATTCACTGAGAGGAGAGCATTCAGCAGTTGGTCACCTGCATTTTTGCATCACACTGGCCAGGGTTTTATCGCAGTCTTGTTATCACGTCAGGTTTTGCAGGATGCAGTCGTGGTTGCAGTTGACTCGGTGTAAGTCCCGTTGACTTGAAAAGGGCTTCATTCTGTTTGGAATGACAAAGTCTAGCCAAGAGGCAAAAAAACTGTGTCCTTCCGGGTGTGGTTGAGTTCTTCAACACAACTTAAAAACTGGCCATGCCTCTGTACGTTTCAGCCCATGATCACTTGACTGATAGTCTGGGTTGAAGCATCACCCTTCTCGGCGTTGCTCATTTGTCCAACTCTCTCTGTTCTTCTACCAGCTGGCGCGCATCGCCGACAGCAAGGACCACGTCTTCCCTGTGAATGATGGTTTCGAAGCCCTCCAGGGGATTATAGACTCTGTAAGTATTACTTAAACCAGCATGTTCATTTTTTTATGACCTTGTAAAAACTAGCAGGGCTGTTGCCAAAAAGCTCTCCATCTGTCAACATTCTGACATACGAGGTCCTCGAATTTTGGAGCAATTTGTAGCAGAAACTGAATGGATTGGCTAGACATGGACAGTATGGGGTGTGGTCCAAATGCTGGAGGATTGTTTAGAAAGAGCAGAGAAGCTTTGACGAGGAGAATCAGTGATTCCACTTATGTCTCTGGTTTTCTGATCCCCAGATTTTAAAAATGCATATTTGCCATTGAGGGATTATCAGGGTTAAAGGGGTCTCCCCCCCGATGGATCTACGCTCGGGTGGGGTTGGAGGGGAGGTTGCACACATCATTATACTTGGTGTGTTTACTCAGAAGCAAGCTCCCCCGAATTCAGTAGGATTTCTTTTCGATTAGACGTGCTTAGTTTTGCAACGGTGGCTATGCTTCTTGCTGCAAAATATAGCCAGTTGCAACCTTGATCTGGAACTGTTGTCTGTGTTTCTGGATAAGGAACATGGTGCGCCACAGAAGAGCAGGATCAGAATCGGAATCTAGATGGTTTTTGAGGAAAGAAGAAAGAAGCAACTGAAGGTCACCTGTTATGATATAAATAAGAAAGACAGTTTGGTGTGTTCTTGCTTATGGCCGGTAGCCTGTGTGGAAAATGTTCAAAAGATGGCTGAACTGGCTGCTGTGGGATAATTGATGCATAGCAGTGATTGAGGACAACGGTCTCTGATTCGGACCCTGGATAAAGCAGACGATGTAGCTCAGGGGTTTAGGTCTCTGGCTGCAGAGCAAGAGGCTGGGAGTTTGATTCCCCCCTCTGGGCTTCCTTAACAGGGGCTGGACTCAGTGACCCCCAGGGTCCCTTCCAGCTCTGCAGTTTTGAGATGATGATGATGATGACCTGGTGTCTAGAATCCTCTTGGGAATCCCTGCCAAAAAAAAAAAAAACCCACACCCACACACACACAAAAAAAACCCTACCTTTTTCCATGCCCTGTTTTTAAAAGTTCTCGCTGCTTCCTGAGACGGCGATCTGCGATCCCTCTGAAGCTTGGGTTAACTTCTCCCTCTCCCTCCACTGCCATGTGCCAGATCAGTTGCGTTACAGGGATGAGTAAGCCTGAGCCACTGAATAGTGGGAGCTGGCTTGGCAAATTAAACAAAGGGGTTCACAAACACCCCCAACATTTTTAGGGGAGGTGTCCCGTGCCCAGCTCATGAGCAGCCTATATTGGATGCAATTTCCTTCTCAACATGATTCCTTGCAAGACAAAAAAAAAAAAAGATTTGTGCCCGTTCTTCTCCCTTTCTCAAGATGTCATCCCTCCTGGGCTGTGTGTGTGCCCAGATAATGTCAGAGCATCAGGTGTCCTGAGGTTGCAAAAGACATCTGCCTCTCAGGACTGCAGCCTCCAGACAGTTATTCCTAATGGATTCCAGAAGCCCTTTGGTCTCCTCTTTGTCCCTGTGAATGTGTTTCTAGGTAATAACTTAGAAGATTTTTAATCTCTGAGCCGCACTGATCTTTGAGGGTTTGGTTGGCTGTTGCCTCATCTGGTGTTGGCCATCAAGTTGGAGAGTGGGTCCTGCTGAAGCCATAAAATCTCACAGGGAAAGGATTTTTGGAGGGGGGGAGGAAAAGAAGACAACGACTCCCTGTAGGCCACAGAATGATCAGCACTGAATATATGGAGGGGGAAATGCTAAGTTGGCTTCATCTTTCTAGCCAGCCAGAATGGAGCTTTGAAGGTTTCAAACAGAGGGAACTAGGAAGAACGCGGGACAGAGAAAATTGTAGGTCATGAACCCGACATCTTGGTAGAACGGACAGTGGCCACAAATAGCCACACACAAAAGTGGGGAAAAAAAGACGTGGGAATGGAAGGGTTTCAGGAAAGGCTGCTTGCCTTAAATTGCTCCTTTGCTCCTTCCTGTGAAGTCGTTCTTGAAAAATTAAATGCATCGCATCCCTGATTTCCAAAACAGCGGGCGCTTTGCTTTTTCGCACCTTGGTGGTCGGTTGATTTTCCCAGTTGCCTCTTTTTCTGTTTTCTTCTTTTACCCTTTCGTCATCTTGTTTACTTTTGTAATATGGCTTGCTGTGTATTGCATGGAATACTGTTGTTTTTTTTAAATGAAAGCGTGGAATGTAAATATTTCAAGCAGCTGGTTTATATCGGAGAGCTGGTGTGGTGCAGAGGGTATAATATTGAACTGGGTTTTGAATTGCAGTGCTCACTTGAGCAGTCATGAATCTCGTTTGGGAATTAAATAAATTAATACAGGGGAGTTCTTTTTCCTTGGCAAGTCATAGGTTACACAGATCCACAATACTGTGATTACTGCAGCTTTGTTTATACTTTTCCTGCCTCCAAACCATGTTTAGAATAAGGTTGCTCCCTCTTCCCTTGAGGTTTTCAGCTTCTTGGATAAAGTTTAGTGATGCTCAGGCTGTGTAAATAAAATTAAGTGCCTGGTGCATGTAATTGGCAACATGTTTTTAAAAGGTTGTGACTCACTCAAAGGATGGACACTGAGTGTGCAGATTGGAAGCGAAAGGTCATGGTCTCCATTTGGAAGAAGGGGCTGCCATTTTCTGAACTTCAGCCTCCAGCTTTGTAAACATAAGCTTCACCTTCCTTTATGAGTTTTTTTTAAAAAAAAATCTGTATCTTTTGCTTGTTTTTCTCTTGATCGCTGCCTTGAAACCTTGAGACAGATTGTGCCATATCATCAAAATATAAAGGTTAAAAATCAAATTAGTAAATTAAAACCGATTTGTCTCTGCATAGAAGTAAACGCTACTAACCAAATCTCTACCTGTCCAGGACAGTTTCAGATTGTTCAGGAAATTTGCTCAGGTGAAGGCTTGTTATCAGGGGGGGAGATGGTTTGAAGACCATCAGAGGGTGCTGCAAAACACCACTCTGAGTCTCAGAGGAAGAAAGCAAACTGGGAGGAAAGAAAGCAAACACAGTTTCCCACGCCATCCATTCTCTACCTGCAATATGGGAATAACCTCTTGGTCGACTTTTAGGATTGTTTAGAGGTTGCTAAAACAATTTGACGGCTTTGAAATGGGAAGTGGAAATGAGGAAATGTAGTTGCAGGTTCTTCATTTTCCAGAGACCAGAGAGCTAAACTCAAGGTCTTCCAGGAAACTGGTGGATCCTTCTGTAGGAAAGCCATTATTTTGTAGGACTAACATGTTTTGGGTAGAAGGGTTTCCCAAATATAGAATTCAAAATGTTTTAAAATGGGCGTTTTAAACAATGACTAAGAATCTAATTCTGACCGGCTAAGAGAGCCCAAAGGCTGAAGGTGTCCTGGATCAAAACCCTTCCCAGACTTGGGAGGCTGACATTATTTTGAGCACCCTTTTGTGCTGGCATGGGGGCTGAGGGGCTCCCTCCGCTGAGGAGGTCTGGATCTGGCCCAACACCATCCCTGCTGAGCCTCTTCTTTCCCTGCCATTTCAGAGGAGAGCGTTTGACTGTCACAAGGAGGTTGTTTGCTATCAGAAGACATGCCTGTCTTCCCACAACCCCTTACACCTGGCACAGACTTAAATTAAGGCTGTGCTGCAATACTTGGAAGTCAGGATTGTACCGTAATGTGCTGTAATAATTAGTTTCTCACAATTTATCCTGCCTCCAGACTAACAGTTCCTCTATTTCTCAAAAATACAAAAGTGCATGTTTTGAATGTATCTTCTGGCCCGGAGTGGCCCGCTCTTTCCTTCAGGTTTAACACTCTTCTATTGCTAACGCTAACTTCTGTAACCACATTTTCCTGTTTCTCTCTCTCTCTCTCTTTTCTCACCTGTTCCTCGGACAGCCTTTGCTCGCTTCTGGGCCGTCTCTTTTCCTCACTTCTTCCAAGCTTCATCTTTACTCCTCGCATTTCACTTGGTTGGAAGAACCTGCTTGCCTTCCGTTTCCTGAGATATCTGAAGCCTCTTTTCAACCATCTGTGGAGACGTTTTAAAGAGGCAGTGGCCCCACCTGCACCTTTCACTGGCAGGTATTGAAGGCAGGGGGAAATAGGGATGATAAGAGAACATGTGGATTGTTTCCCAAGGTTCTCCCAAGGAAATATGGATGAATCCCTCAGGATCCTCACCCCACCTTTTCGAGCCGAGCTCCTCCTGAGTAAACCCTTCCCTTCTTTCCTCACATCCAAACCCCTGCTGCTTTTTCCTTGATAACTTTGGTGGCCACCGGGGAGGAGGTGGGTTTGACAAACCATCCCTGATCCAGCGATGGGGGGAAAAAGGAGAGGCACAGAGCCTTTGCTTTGAGAGCATGACACTTCTAACAGATTTTTTTTTTTGCTTCTGTATATCTTTAATTTGGAACATCTAAACAAGCAACACACACTTACAAACCTCTAGTGGTGCAATGTTCTGAGCTCCAGGATGATTTTGATGACTATCAGGATACAACAACCACTTGAACTGAAAAGGTGCTTCCAGATTATTATGCAAGTGCCCTGTTTCTGTCATGGATTTTATGGAGCCTGTAGCTGACAGATGAAGTCCTGGAAAGCTGAGTGGTTGTGGAGCCAGAGGTTCAGAGTGCGATTCCTGCACTGGGACTCCTTGACAGAGGCTGGTCTCAATGATCCATAAGGTCCCGTCCAGCTCTGCAGTTCTAGGATTATTTCTAAGATTCTAAGACATCATCTTCCCCCCTTGCGTGTTCTTGCCATTTCTTCCATCTTTTCCTGTTCTACAAAAATGCCGGAAGATGGAACAGAACAGCTTGTACAGTGCCTTTTGATAGGTTGTGCTAGGATCCCTCCATCAAGAATTGTCCAGATTGACAGAGAAATGTCTTCACAGTCTTAATTTCCTTTTTTTTCTTCTTCCTCCCTGTGGTTTCTAGATTTTGAAAAAATCGTGCATTGAAATTCTGGCTGCCGAGCCTTCTCGAATCTGTGCAGGAGGTGAGTTTAAAGTGGATTCTTCGAGCCTTCAGTGGCTTCACATCCTTGTGCTTCCTTCTTGAATCCTGAGGGAAGGCAGATGCTGGAGCCAGCCGTCTCTTGCCTCTCTTTGGGAACTTTTCCAGATGAACTTGGCACAGGAACGCTAGAAAATTCCATTTGTTTTATGTCTGCTTGTATGAAGTGATCTTGGATGGAGTCTGTATTAGGAGTGCTTTTTCTGTCTTTTTGTGTGGACCAGAAAAGCAGTAAAATCTCAGGCATTGTCTATCAGATGTAAGAATGGCCTTCGGTAGAAGTTTAGGCCATTGTAGGATCTTTTTTCCCTTCCCTTTGCCCCCTCCCTCTCCCCTTCTCTCCTCACTCATGCGGCTGGCATTAGACCATCTGCAAAGACATAGAGGTGCCCCTTCCTGCCTCTTGGCCCTGGTTAAATGGTATTTCTTCCCAATGGGAGGAAATCTGGGCTGGCATCAGCAATTCTCCTGCTGCAGGGGTGAGGCCATTGATGGAGTCAGGAGACTAGCCTGTAAGGGAGTGGAAGCCAGCTTTTCCTTGTGCGCCGTAGCCGGGGGGTGTCAAAGGGTAGAGGCGCTGCATGCTTCTGGCCAAGGGGGAGACCCAGGGCGGAGCTGAGTGCCCCGGGAGCCGTTTGCTAAAAGGGTCCATTCCGCTCATGTGCTAATGGTACAGCTTGTGTTGCACAACATGGAAGACACTTGGAGAAAGCAAGAACTCAAGAACTCACGCCTTTTATTAGGCATACGCTCTTGTGGAATGCATATCGCTTCATCCGGCACATTTTTTTTTCCTTTGAAGAAGATGGGTTTCATAGGGTCTCTGGAGACCAGTTGGGAGAAAAATCTGCACTGTGAAAGTCAAGGGCAGGGAGAAAATACCTGTAGTCACTTCTCTGTTTCATAACTGGTCATGGGAAGACTTCTGAAAGAAATGCCCTGCTGCCTATTCACGAATACACATGCATGTCGGGGTGTGTGTACTTACTTGTCCTCCCAGGCAAGAGTAAAGAATTGCAGCCTTCTACTTCTTGCGGGTGAGGGCCGTGTTAGATTTGTTTGGATAGAGAGAACAATAATTTCCACAAAAATATCAATACAGTGTCAACTTTGCCGCAGTTTTGGAATCTGAAGTGCTGGATTGATTATTCGCATCTTTCCTCACAATTAGCCAGTCTTTCTGCACTCATTGTATCAACATGCAAACAATGCCCTTTGTTGCTCTTGTTTGGATGCAAACCCAAAGGTTTAGGTTGGCAAAAATCCATAAGGCCTTTGGAAAGGAAGTGGAGGACCAGCCCTGGGATGGAGAGAGGGGGGCAAAAACAGGCAGTGAAGCATCACAGGAGGACACGTTTTCATAGATAATTGTAGGCGCCTGTGCCTAGCCTTTTCTCCAGTGTCAGTGGGGTGGGCGAATCTATTCTGAGCTTTAATTGGGCTTTAAAAGAGTCAAAGTGCTGAATTTATTTGAGAATGGGCTTCAGCACTCTGGAGAGCTCCTAGTAAAGTTCACAATAACACTTGGAGCAGGCTCATCGTAACACTATCCATCTGTGACATCACGTTAAGCCCCAACTAGCACTAACCCAGGAGGTGGCTTCTTGCAGCTCCGAGGGGCCCGAAGCCAATGATGGAAATTTGTGTTCCTGGAGCTGGAGAACGGATGCTGGTGCAGGGCTGATCCTGCCTGCTTCCCTGGCCTCCCCTAGAGCAGGTCAGCCTGTCCTTTGAACGCAGGAGGGTCTCCCTCCACCGGCAGTTGCTCCGAAGCATCTTGGGCAAAAAAAAGAGTCTCTTTCTCGTTGCCTCTGTTATGAATGACAGTTGTCTGGAGTTTAATATCAGACCTTCCACACGCATCGTAACACTATCCATCTGTGACATCACGTTAAGCCCCAACTAGCACTAACCCAGGAGGTGGCTTCTTGCAGCTCCGAGGGGCCCGAAGCCAATGATGGAAATTTGTGTTCCTGGAGCTGGAGAACGGATGCTGGTGCAGGGCTGATCCTGCCTGCTTCCCTGGCCTCCCCTAGAGCAGGTCAGCCTGTCCTTCGAACCCAGGAGGGTCTCCCTCCACCGGTAGTTGCTCCGAAGCATCTTGGGCAGAAAAAAAAGAGGCTCTTTCTTGTTGCCTCTGCTATGAATGACAGTTGTCTGGAGTTTAATGTCAGACCTTCCACACACCTCCCCTAGAGCAGGTCAGCCTGTCCTTCGAACCCAGGAGGGTCTCCCTCCACCGGTAGTTGCTCCGAAGCATCTTGGGCAGAAAAAAAAGAGGCTCTTTCTTGTTGCCTCTGCTATGAATGACAGTTGTCTGGAGTTTAATGTCAGACCTTCCACACACAAACCGCCGTATCATCTTCTCCGTCTGCCGTCAGATGAAAAATGCCCCGATGGCTTGTACGGTCTGCACAGGAAGGGCTTTGCTTAACATCAGCAGCAAATGGCATCTGTTTAAAGAAGCTGACTTTATGCCTGGGGCTTACCTGTGAGGAGGCTCAGGGACACATCTGCATGCCTATCGAAAGGCCAGTTCTCCGTGTAAGGCTTTGGAACTCAGCCAGTCACCTGTCATGAGTAAGTAGGATCACCCACGGATCCCCAACCGTGTTGAACATGGTGTGACTAAGCTTTTCACTTTCTAGTTTGAAGCCTGCAGGGACGAGGCCTCTGCATTTAAAATAAAACAACAACAACTAATCTCTGTGGACTGCAGCTGGCATGCACATCTTGACATGCCCTGTCGTAGCCCAACTTCTGCTGATTCACCAGGATCCCTCTTTGCTGGTCTTAGGCAGGTAAAAACTCCCTAGAGATTGGAACCCCATGAATGATGTGAATTTTTTTACAAATCCACTGAGTCATATCTCAGTTTGCACTCCCTGATGTTGATGTTTACTGTGATTACTTCAGAGGCAAACCAGAGTGGATTTAAGTTTTTTAATGGGAAGCACGTGTTAATTAAATTATTATGTCTAATACAATCAATGTTACGGACCTGTGACTGGGAGGGAAACCAACCTAAAAATAATAATCGTGGTATGTAAATAATGAACTGAGTTCTTGTTAAATCTTTTTGCCTTGTTAGATAGCACACCTGTGCTTTCCATTGATTTCACAATGTATTAAGTCAATCACAACATGCATATTTCATAAGCAAACAGTGCAATCCTGTAGGTGTCTATGTATAAGTCAGCCTCACTGATTTAAAACTATATGTTTGTATAATGGAAATGGTGGGAAAAAACATGTAACATCCCACAGGATGATCACCTGTCAGCCCCTTTACTTTCCCACCCCCAGCCAGAGTGCTTTTCGCTGGTGGGAACGGGCCTTCAACAAAACCTGGAGGTCTTGTGTGCACTGACGCGGGAAAGAAGCACAGTGGCTTGCTTCTGAGTAAAAGCCTGCCACTTGTGAGAAGATGGGCTCACCCATCTCTCTTTAATTAGAAAATAATAAGAATAATTAGTGCAATAGCGTACCAGATCCCAAAGAATAGACACTTTGCCCTGTTGGTGAAAATCTGCCTTTCTTGATTAAGCATTTATTTCCAATGACTGATGAACTAAACTTCTGTATGATTGAGCAGCCCTGTTTTTTTTTTTATTTTCTCCATAGGTAACTTTAGGTATATACACAGATATTTAGTGTTCGGTCCTTTAATGGACATCAGGCTGGTTGTCAGCTTTGGTTCTGAGACACAATGGCTTCTCGGATACATGACTAATGGCACACACGCACCTTCCTTTAGAAAATGAAATAAAACAAGGCTGAGCTTGGACTCTGGATGAGATGGTTGGCTGGCTGGCTGGCATATGGATGGCCACCCCAGGAAGATTGATGCTTACAGTGAAGTGTGTCTTGCATGTACAAATGGACCATCCCAGGCAGAAATGTTCCATCAGCATAAATTCAGTGCTTCTCAGTGGAGCTAGTTCACAGAGGTCACTGCAGATCATCCAGTGATGTATCATGAATGTGTGAACTAGTTTCAGGGGTTTTTTCTGATAAGAGTGGGGTGGAGGGGAAACTGATCCAGCACCCTTCCGGTGTTGGAAGAGGATGATCATTTTGGAAAGCCCTGATTAGGATGTTATTATGGACAATAGGACAATTTGGGGCTGAAGTCCATTGATCTCTGGTTGGAAATGAGCAAACCCCCACCCAGGTCAGCTGTCTGTCTGTGAAACCCGTGCAGAGTGACACAGCTGAAGGTTTGGACTTTTCTTGTGCGCTCCCTCCCTCCCTCTCTCTCTCTCATGGATGAAGTACCTTCCACCTTTCTGTTCCCTCGCCTGTTTCCCCTGAATGAGCTCACCAGCTGAAGGGGATGGATCTGCTTGGCTGGCGTGCAGCAGATCCTTCTGGGATGAAAGAAATTGAGGCTTGGAGCCAAGCCCAGATTCCTGAGTCAACTTGTATGCTTCGCTCGGCTCCAGAGTCTGAGCCCCCAGAGGCGTGTGGGGAGAGAGAGGCCGAGAGTGGGCGGCATCGCCTCCGTGCCAGCGAAATGGTTGATTCAGCAGAAATCAGGGTCACTTTATTGCAAGGAGATTTAAAGTGATAACAGGGCGCTTTGCCATGGCTTATTTGTTTCCGTTCTACTTAAAGGCACTCAATGCAGGAGGGGAAAAAGGGTTGTTCATGATGGCAAAAGTTGTGACTCTTCCTTTGCTTGAATACCTTGGCCTCTGCTTCCTTGCACATTTTCCTTGGAGAGTAAGACCATACAGGGTAGAACTTGGTGCAAAACATCCAACTGTAACTTGGAGATGTAGCTGTAACGTACCTTACTCAAGGTCTACCTATCTGATAATACTTCAGTGTTGTTTTGCTTTTTCTGGACCAACAGATGTTTCAAGGGAAGCTGTTTTATAGGGTTATTTTCATGGGGAAAATATATAGGGTGGGTATTTTTCTGGTCATATCTCAAGAGATCTAGGGAAGTTAACTTAAGTATTAATAGGGGAGAGAGGATGATGCTGATAGGTGTAAAATGTTCAATTGGAAGGGCTTGTAATGTTGTTTTACAACAGTTTTGGAATCAAACTGGATTCTGAAAAGGAAGAAGCACTAGAGATCATACTGCAAATATCTGTTGGATCTTGGAGCATACCAAAGAATTTCAGAAGATCAGTCTATACTTTATAGAGTACAGCCAAGCCTTTTACTTTGTGGACCATGGGAAGCTATGGGTTGTTCTGAAAGAAAGAGGTGTGCCTCAGCACTTGGTTGTCCTGATGCGTAACTTGTATTGTGGAGAAGAAGCTACCACTGGGACAGAATACAGAGAGACAGAACGGTTTCCTCTAAGGCCAAGGGGTCAGACAAGGGTGCGATTTATCCCCTTATCTATTCAGTCTCTGCAATATCATACAGAAAGCCAGACTAGTTTCGGAGGAAGAAGGAGTGAAAATTGATGAAATAATCTTCAAACATTTAAGATATGCAAATGACTCCATCTTGCAGGTAGAAAGCAGTAATGACTTGAAACGACTTCTAAGGAAAGTGAAAGAAGAAAGTGCCAAAGCAAGACTGTACCTGAACATGAAGGCAAAATTATGACTACAGAAGAACTACACAACTTGACAATGAAGGAATTGAAATAGATTTTTTAAAAAATACTTTCAATCATCAGTCCAAATGGAGAACTTTAGACAAGCAATCTTAAGAAGACCGAGTCCCAGAAGGGCAGCCATGAGGGAATTAGAAAAGATCACCAAGTGATAGGTCAAGGGAGACCAACGTCAAGACCATCCACATTCTTCTACTCTGGATCACCATGCATGGGTGTGAAAGCTGGACAAATAAGAAAGCTGACAGGATTTTATTTTTATTTTTTTGATGCATTGGAAATGTGGTGCTGGAGGAGAGATGCCCTGGACTGGCGGAAAGGTGAACAAGTGGGTCCTAGATCAAATCAAGCCTGAACTCTCTCTGGAGGCAAAAAATTGAGACTCTCTTACTTTGGACACGTCATGAGAAGACAATAAAGGTGGAAGCCAGCAGGGAAAGATGGGGAAAGCCAAATGCAAGGTGGACGGACTCCCTAAAGGAGTTTAGAACAGCTGAGCAAGGGCAGTGGAGGACAGGGCATCTTGGAGATGGCTCGCTCATGGGGTCGCCCTAAATTGGAGGTAACATAACGGCATATAACAAAAACAACAACAACAATGTTTATGTTAATATGAAGGGAGAAAAACATCTGTAATCTTTTCTGGAGGGCTTGTTTTACGCCTCATATACTGCATGAAATATTTAGTGCCAATCCAGCGCTGCTCTGGGAGAGTTGCCAGCTTAAATCTCCTTTTGATCTTCCTGCCAACTTTATCTCCTTGTGGTGGAGCTGAGCGAGCATGGGAACCAAAGGAAACCCGTCCTGCCTCAGACCAAAGGCCTCTCTTGTACTGCATTCTGTTTGCCTGCCGGGCCCGTCTGTTGCTCCCTGGGAAATTTTACAAATAAGGTGGAGGTGCAAAAGCATCTTCCAGCTTTTGAAAGCCCACCACCACCACCACCCATTTGTTGCAGAGGCGACATGGTCTCTGATATTGTCAATGCTATGTTATTGTTTTAATGCCTTTAAATACAGAAATGTTGCACTAAGACTTAGCAGGATTTTTTGTTAATGTAACAGTTACCACCAGGGCTTTTACCTGTCTTAGTAGATGGGTTAAAAGACTTTGGTTGGAAAGCCTCCAGCAAAGGAGAATGGTTCAGTGTTAGTTTAAACACAAGGTTTTCTTAACTTTTTCTAGTTAGGATGGGAAGAACATTTTCTTGTATCACATAGTTGTGGTTTGAAACAACCGCAGGCAGATGTAAAAGAAGAAGGGATGCGATGCCTTCTTGGCGTGGTTGGGAGATAACCATTTTTTTCCTGCTCTTTCAGAATCCTTTCAAGTGGTTGTGACGGGAAATGGCTTCCGACACGCCCGCAATGTGGATCGGGTCCTCTGCAGCTTCAGGATCAATGAGACCGTCACACTCAGTAAGTGCCTTGCCTTCAAATCTCTCTCTGTCTGCCTGCCTGCCTGCCCCCATAAGGGCTTGGTTGTGGGTCAGCGTTGACTTCTGTGAAGGTTGCGTTGGTGAGCACGAGAAGGAGGGGAGCCTCAGAGAAGAAGGGAAGACAATATCAAATTATGGTTTGGAGCCATTTTTGTTTAGACTGGTAATAAGGAGAGGTGTTATTCAGTGTCTCCAGAGACCAGTGTGTTGGGAAATGAGGGTACAGGGAGAAAGACGAGTCAAGAGCGCTGAAACAATGAGCATGCAGCCCACTGTGACCAGCTTCTGCTACCTCCGTGTGCAAGACATCGTTACGTGAATCAGTCCAGACTGTGTGTGCATGGCCTGTGCTGTTTTTTTGGAGACCTGGGGGGGCGGCTAAACTCCATCCACAGCTGCCTCAGCTGTCACGGTAAAACAGCAACTGCATGGCTTCCTGGCTTACATCGGAGAGAGACGTTCCTGGCGAAATCCATCTCACCGTGAACTTTGGGGCTTTTGAGCTGGTAAACCTGATGAAGTGGATTTTTCATCCACGGAAGCTTGTCCTATTGTATGGTGATTTTTTTTTTAGTGGTCTATAAAGGCACCGCCTATTTTTGCATTTGTATATTAATTTGTTTGGACCACACAGCTCCTCTTTACTTCAATAGTCTGGACCATCTAGATGTCACAAGAAATTACAAGCTGCTCTTTATCATGCATAGAGTTGGCAAACGAGGAGCCCTCTCAGCTCTCTAATGTCCTGTGTGGCTGAATAAATAAATAAATGTTCAAATGGTGAGCTTAGTAAGAAGAGCATCTGCTCACATAATCCCAATTTTGATGATGCATAGAAGCCGTGTGTTTTTTGCCTCCCTCGGGGTGGTGCTGCATTCCTGCGTCCGAGCAGGGTACCTGGACGGGCAGCCCAGAACGGATTTTTATGATGAGAGTGCATGCTGCATCTTGACATGGTAATTATCTGCTACCTTGAGTTGTGCAGAGTTTTCTTGCTTTTTAAAAATAAATACAGCCCGTGGCTGTCCCTCGTACCTGGCCAGAAAAACCACCACAGTCCAACCTCTCTCCCATTTCTGAGGTCCCGTCTCAGCTGCCCATCTTTCCGCCTAGGATTCTTGGAAAGGCGCATCTCCCTGTTCCAGTCCAAGAGTGGAATTCCGATGGGACCGAAGTCTCCGGGGGCCGCATTCCACCTGTGGGCGCGGTAGAGGGTGGAGTGAGCACAGCCAAAGTGCGATGCTTGTGTACTGTGTAAGCCTGCTGTGAAGAAAGCGGGACATGTCTCTGCACATGTATTCAGAAGTAAACGGGACTGAATCACTAACCCTGAAATAGCATCCCAAATACTAAGCCCTCTCTGCTCAGCTTCTTAGAAATAAGGAAGAGGAGAATGTCTACTTGCAGGTAAAACAGGGGGTGCCTTTGCAGGCCAAGCCTCAGGATGGATCCAGATTGGGTCACCGAGCTACTTTCTCACAAGGACTTGCCTTTTCTTTGTGGCATTTCCCAAGGCATTGTAGAGTCGGGGGAGGGCACACAGAAAAGTGCAAAATCATCATCATCATCATCATCAACCTGGCCAGATATATTGAGGCTCCAGGATCTGAGTTAAAGTTGAGTCTCAGGAGAGAAACGACAACTTGTGGAATTGGTTTGACTTACTTCCTCGTCACCTTATGTTGAAGGATACACATTTCCTGTTTGGTTGGGAATAATTTCAAATGTATGCAGCGATTTTTGTTATTTGTAATGTCCAAAATCAGAAAGCAATATTGCCTGTTGAAAGAGCCTGTCATTCATTAGAAAATGCATTATAGGTAGACCTCAAAGCAGCAGAGAGAGAAGAAATTGTGGTTAAATTAAGTATATGTGCTGCTCTTAGGAATGTGTTGGTGCCGATAGCTAGCAGTGGCCTTGGTTTCATTTGCCCCATAATCAGAGGTCCTCAGCCAGGGGCCTGTTAGTGTTGTCAGTTTCAGTAGACAGAAGAGAAACCTTCCTTGGGGCAGCCCAGTCCAGCTTTTCCTGATGCTGTTGCATGAACATACTTGGATTCCTGATTGTTTGCACTTAGTAAACTCCTGCTGGAACGAAGCTGCAGTATGACTGTTGCTCTCTTGGTAAAATTCAGTGAAACACCCTACTCAAAAGCAAGAGACAGCTTAAAATATCTATTGCAGACCAATAGATATTGGGTGCTTGCCAAAACATGCCTAACTGGCACTGCAAAGCTAAAGGTGCTTGGGCCTCCAGATGTTCCTGGACTACAACTCCCAGAAGCCTTCACCACCACCTGTGCTGGCCAGGATTTCTGGGAGCTGAAGTCCAAGAACATCTGGAGGCCCAAGGTTGGGGACCATTGGAAGTGGTTGTTCCAAAATGAGCGTTAAGTGTGCGTCTGTGAGCAGACAGTTGCTGAAACCTCCCCTTTTGCTCCTGTTTTAAAACTTTTGAGTTTCGCCAGGTGGAACCTCGGAACCTCTGAAGCTCAACTAAGCTCAAGGAAGTGTTCCTTTTCTGCAAGGGTTGTCCGCCCATGCTCAGCTGTATCCCTCTTGCCCATTTTAAGGTGTCCAAGCAGCTCCCTCCCCACAAAAGATGTTTCTACTTTAAAAAGAAGGATTATCTGGAAGTTCCAAAGAGTGGCGATTCTCTTCTCAAGCAAGGTGTGGGATATTCCTTTCGTGTATGGGAGCAAGCGGGGGATCCTTGATTTTTTTTTTAATAATGAAAGTGACCCTCAAGTCACTGCTAGTTTGGGGGAAAGAATCTGGATGGGATGGTTAGATACAGATGGGTATTGGGGAATCAGCCCTGGGCCTGCTGAAGTTCTTCATCCTGATTTACTCCATGAACACAGGGGTCTTTTTGACATGCCCTCAGCTGTTTGAAGCAGCCAGTGAAATTCTTTTGGGGTCCACCATTTCCAGGGGGGCATCGGTTCCTAACCCTGGGTCCTCTCATGTTCTTGGACTACAACTCCCACAATGGGGAAGTCTTCCAGGAGTTGTAGTCCAAGAACAGCTGGGGACCCAAGGTAGGGAACCACAGTCCTAGACAAACCCGGATGGGTTTAAGATGGTGGCTAAAGAAGCCAAGAGTTCCTCCTCTTGTTCTGTTCCACTGCATTGTCATAGCAGTTTTGAAAGATGCATGTGTGTTTACTTTGAGGTATTTTTAACCTCAAAACACACAAGAAAAAGCCCCCAGCGGGAAAAGGCTTGTCCCCCCCTCCCAAGGCTGCCGTAGCCTCTGCGGACAATTCAGTCCCTCGGTTGTGCGTCTTTGATTCAATACAGTAAACATGCTTGGGGGTTACAGCATGTGACAAACAGCCACGGCCACCGCAAGGGTTTGCAAAATAGATGTTAAAGGGTGGAAAATTGACATCGGCTTCTGGATTATAATGTCCTCGTGTTCTGGAATACATTTAAACTATCACAGCAATTTCCTGAAAATGCAGCTGGTTTTCTGTAAACTTTGCCCTCGAGTGTATGAGGTTGAGTTGCAAGGAAAGGCGCACAGAGGAGGCTTCAAAGCGGTTGACTGTTTTAAAGCAAAGTCGTTTGGGGATTTTGGAAGAGAAGCATCCCAAGGAAGAGGGTCTTGGCTCTGTTCTGTAGAAGTTGGAAGTTTTTTTTTTGTTTAAAGCTAAGATGTGCCTCTATAAAAAAAGCAACTTAGGAGGGATCTTCCAGCAGGATCACGGTCGTGCAAAAAGAAAAAGCGAGTGGCACCCTCAAGACAGTTGGACGGTTCTTGAGTGACGCTCAAGTGTCACAACCAACCTTGGGGAAGGCTGAGCACGCAAACGAAGGATAGAGGATGATTCCCTTTGTCCAATGGCATTTTTATTTGTTGATTTCACTCAGCCGTGAAAATCTTGAGAGAGTTTTTTTATATATAGCTTTAGTTTCCATGGGAGAAGAAGATGATTCTGTTTTGTTTTGTTTTTGTAATATATCAAAAACAGAAGTATAATGAACAACAGAAATGCCAGATAGCTCAAGAACAGCTGGATAGCTCAGTGGTTGAGGTCTCTGGCTATGGAGCCAGAGGTTGGGAGTTTTATCCCCCCCCCTCAAATGGTGCCTCAGGGGCTGAACTCCATGATCCAGCTCTGCCGTTCTAAGATTACTGCTATAACTTCTCTAGAAGATCTAAATTGTTTTCAGTTCTACACAAATTTTTGGATTAGAATTTCTCATTCTCAAGCTCTGTCTCTGTGTTTGGATGAAGACAACAAAGCATCATTAAAACCAAGCAAAGAATCTGCTTTATATTGGTTTTCCCTTAGTTGCTGCTGAATTTTGAGCATGGGTGGTGATGGGTGCAGCCCACTGTGGATCAGGTGGAGGGAGCAGAACTGGCCAATCAAGTTGCCCCCCCCAATAATGAGGAAATTAACAGGCAAGCCAAAGTGGGACACGGCAAAGACAATAGATGAGTGACAACACCAGCCTAGGGCTACAAAAAATGAACCTTAAAGACTGAGCCCAAAATGGACGCCTTACCCTATTGGAGGAAATTATGTTGGGGGTCATGTTGGCCAATTTTGGGATGGGTTAGGGTGCTGAAGACTTGTCAGTGGTTTTTCTGGGTGCCATGGAGCCACTGATGATCGTGAGGATTTAAACCAGTGCCTTGTGTCAGAATGACACATGCTGATGGCCAAGGTCTGAAGGCGCATTGTTTCTGAAAATGGTACACAGGAGTATTGCCATCAGCTGGTGCTAAGACTCAGCTTGATGATGAATCCAGACTGAGGTCAAAGCAGAAATCCTACAGCATTGGAAACCAACCCAGCTAAGCGAGTCAGGGCTTGAGGAGTGTGATTCCCCATGAGCGCAAAGCTGTTGGATTTGCTATGGCTTCACTGTGGAAATATCTGAAGGGCACGAGACCAACTTTGGAAAAGCCCACTCAACCCCTCGGAGGAAAGATCAACAGTAACCACTCTTCAAAGGAGGGTAAAAC